GAAAAAGAAAAAATATTTGCTAAGAGTTATATTTTTATGGTATAAATTTGGCTTTTGATTCTTTGGATAAACAAAAAGTTTGTACTTGAAATCTTTGCATAAACCAATTTTATAGTTGTGTGAAAAAATGTTTCAATTCGCTTAAAAAGTTTTCGAGATGTGGCGAAATACACAAAAAATAAAAATAACCTTCTTCTTCTTCTTCTTGCTTGAGCTTGTCAGATATGTGGCACCTCTGCACATGTTGCATTTTGTACCATGCTCCAAGCCCAATTTTTTCCTAGTTCCATTGTCTTGGGTCGCCTACTTTATTTATATAGTCTGACAGTCCCTTAATGGAATTAAGGTGAAGCTCTTTAGGATATGGATTGCCTAAGGTAGCGAGGCGCGTAAGGGCGAGGGCATCACATTCGTATAGGATGTGATGTGCTGATTCTACCGCTTCACGGCATTTCCGACATATTGGTTCTTGTTCGAAAAGTCCCAATCTGTGTAGATGTTTCCTGAAATGATAATGCCCAGTGATGAAGCCTACAATTGTTTGAATCTTCAATCTTGGGAGCCTAAGAATTTCAGGAGCAATTTTTGCAGAAGGGCTGCTGATCATGCTTTTAGCATGTTTTTGTCCAGGAGAATTGCGCCAAACTTTGTTCATCTCCTGTTTTTCCCATTTTAGGACGGCCTTCTTTGTAATCTTCATATTGATTCCACAGAAGGGTTCCGTTCCTATTGGATTGAAAGAGGATCCCTGTTTTGCGAGTTCATCAGCTCTTTCATTACCATCAATTCCCATATGCCCTGGTACCCAAATAAGAATGATTTTATTCCTTTTTGCCAGTTCTATTAGGAGATTCTTGCATTCCATAAAAATTTTTGATTTAACTTGAAATGAGTAAAGAGCCATCAAGGCTGCTTGACTGTCGCTGAAAATAAGAATCCGCCTACCATGGTAGCCTTTCTTAATATTTATCTGCAGACAGTTTACGATAGCAAGTACCTCCGCCTGAAAGACAGTAGCATACTCCCCAAGACCTTCAAAAAGGTTGAATCTTGGTGACAAGCCACAGACACCCAGTCCTGAGAGGTTACCTTTCTTTGATCCATTGGTATACCAGATTAAATCATCATTTTTTGTATCGATCGTGTTGTTATCCCNTGTAGATTTACCAGGTTGGTAGGCAAACTGTAGATTATGCAAGGGGTTATTGCTACCCAGGTAATCCCTAATATGCCTATCAATAATTTTCTCTATAATTTTGAACCTTAAGGGGTCTAAACTTTGTCCCTAAATTTTAGGGGTCAGAAGTCCAAATCCGTTGAAAAAAAATCTGTTTATTCACAGAGAGTTCGTTTTTGTGTCTGATTTTGTAAATTAAAATATCGGTTGCATTAATATATTGTCATATTCGAATTTACTTCTTGAGCATTAAGATTGAGTCCAAGTTCCGATTAATTTAATTTTTTTAATTTTGTACACTGTACACATAAAATTTATAAAATTTAATTTAGAAATGTTAAAAAAATTATACCTTTTATTTTCAGCATTCACTCTTAGCTTATTGTTGAAATTATTAGAACATTTCGTTATTTTAATTAACTACAAAAATGTGTTACTGCTAACATTGAAATTACTTTTTAAACTCAATTCAAGTTCATTAAAAGTTTGACGTTATGTCATCGAAAGTATCTTTATTAGAAAAATCTATCACCATTTACACCTGCGCTTAATGGATCGTAAAATGTAATTATTTATTGCACAGCTGACGTTTATGATTTTCCAATTTAAACAGTTTGGTGCAGAAAGTTAGTTTTCTGATTGATGATATAAAATAATATGCATGAAAAGGCTTAAATCGATCTAAATAAATAAGTGCCATAGCTTGTCAATAACTTTATTTTTCAAAACACTAAACCAAAATGTTTTATTAACATTTAAGAATGATTTAAATATAAGTATTTAAAATGAGTCTTAATGAATCTTGTTTTTTAATTTTTTTTGTATCTGGTGATATTTTATATATTTATTACTACTGAGGGAGAGGAACCCTCTCATATTAAGTTGAAGACAACTATGACAAAAATNAAGGCTTAAATCGATCTAAATAAATAAGTGCCATAGCTTGTCAATAACTTTATTTTTCAAAACACTAAACCAAATTGTTTTATTAACATTTAAGAATGATTTAAATATAAGTATTTAGAATGAGTCTTAATGAATCTTGTTTTTTTTAATTTTTTTTGTACCTGGAGATATTTTATATATTGATTTCGTTTGTAATCAAACTATATGCTGACAAGGAAAACACTTTCCTTATCGAAGTTCATAATTTAACTTTTTTTTTTATAATTTTGCGAAAAAAAATGTCTGCTAGAGAATAACACAGCTGGTTGTAATAAAAGCTAGATAATTTATTAACATATTGAAAGAATGTTTGGGTCGCATTCATTTGACTCGATCTTGTAAATCCAGTTTTTCTATAAATATGTGTATTATATCAGTTTCTAAAATTATACTTTGCACTTTTCCATCAAATTGCGATGGAATCTTGAAAGGGAATTATAATTTCGAAAGGGCTTCGAAATTTTCAAAAACATACTAATGATGTATTTGAATGCCCCCAAATGACTGAAAAATCAGTACTCGATAAAATGTTTTATCAATCGGTAATTAAAAGTATTTTCATTGCATAAATACATGTTTGGCAGATTATTCAACTTTTTGGGATATTTCTCATTTATATAATTCCAAAAATTGAAAAGTGAAAGAATTAAAAATATGAATGCATGAAAATTTGTATAAAAGAAAAGTTATTATTTATAAGTTCTGCACTGTAAAAAAATCAGGATTTTTTTTCAAAACAAGTTATGCATTCAAAATAAATTCGATATTAATTAAATTTACATTTAGATGCATAATCAGTTACATGAAAATTTAAATAAATCATTTTTATAGCATGTTTTTCTGAATTATTCAGCAAATGTTTAAATTTTGAATTTTTTAATAATTAATGCATTTTTTGTCAATAAATATCTGGCAAACATTTATGGTTCAAACTTTTTTTAAACTATTCTTAAATTAAACGTTGAAAGTTTTTTTTTTTTTTATAAAATAACTAGAAGTTATTTTTTGACTTTTTGATTATGTAATAGCCTTTACGCAGGTGCCGGAGTCTTCTCCGACATTTTTTCTTTCCACGTCCCTGTGGGACAGGGTACTGCGTTTGACGGAAAAATTGTTGCGATCCGCACAGCTCTGTCCCAGCTGCAGTGCTACTTAGAAAAATTCACAAGAGCTGTTATCCTCAGCGATTCTTGAGCTGCTGTGTTAACTATCATTACTGACAATAATCTCATAACACAGAACATATTAGACTGCCGTTATCATCTTAAAAACCTGGCATCACTTGAAAAAACTATAGTACACTAGTAGATTCCTGCCCACTGTGGAGTTCCAGGAAGGGAGATGGCCGATTTTCTGGTTAAAAGGGGTTCTTTAATTATGCAAAGAGTTTTTCGTCCTAAGCCCTTCCATACTATTAAAAATCTTATTTGTTGTATTCTGTGTTCTATTGTTTTCTGCTGTAACTGTTCAAAATCAGCCAATATAAATAAAAATAAATTTGGATTAAATTTTCTTTAAGTAAATGTGTTTCAAAGTTGGGTACTCAAATTGTTTGATTTGGGTAATTACATTTGGAGATGTATTGACAAACTCTTGCGACATAGAGAGCTTAGCTTATTGCAAGCCGCCACTAAAGATCGAGCTCCAGCTTCTCGCAATGACAAACCAGTGCCTTAAGCACTGAGTCATAGACACTCCTTATAATAACACTAAGTGATGTCTATGCCCCCATCAAAAATCAGAAGTTAATCGTTCAAAGTTCTCTATTTTTGTTTAAAAAAAGTTTGTTTATAAAATTTTATACGTAAGAACAAGTATCCTGTCATAAGCGAAAACAACAACATTTTACAATTGAGATCTGTCCAAAGATAACAGGACTCTTAAGATTAGGCAGCTTCAAGGATAAAATGGAACAAATTGATTAAATTTATATTTAATCAGGGAGGTTATTTGAAAGTACCTTTCTATAATTTTTATTTTGTAAGTAACTGTCGACATAGCCTCCGAAAACTTAAAAAAAAAAAACAATCACAAACCTCGCAATTATTTGATATCAATTATTTGATTGCAATTATTTTACGCAATTATTTGATTGCAATATTTTGATAGCAAAATGTTTTTGATGTCAAAATTAGTTTTTGAGATAATAATAAATTAATGCTGAAGTTTTTCAGTGCGCCAAGTAATTAAATGTGGGAAAACTAGCACCAGTCATGTAACTCTTTTAAATCTGATATTTTGCAACTACCTACTCACATATTTACAGATGGACAATCAGCCTAACGTTTTTTAAGCTTCTTATTAATTTTGGAGTAATTAAACTGTAAAATTNAAACTAGCACCAGTCATGTAACTCTTTTAAATATGATATTTTGCAACTACCTACTCACATATTTACAGATGGACAATCAGCCTAACGTTTTTCAAGCTTTTTATTAATTTTGGAGTAATTAAACTGTAAAATTGGGATTTTATACAAGCGAAAATCTTTCCATTTCAGCTACTTGATTTTTTGCTAATCTATTGTTACTTCATCATATTGTGGATAGTACAAATACGATAAAAATATTGTACAACAATACAAAGCAATTAGAAAAAACTAATTAAAATCAGCTATGAAATTTGTTATAGTACATTTGACTATTAGTAAACGAACGTGAGGAAAAAAGAATTAATGAATTGAGCTATATGATATAAAATGGGACTGCGGCACTTTCTGGGATTAGAGAGTAATTAAGGTAGTATTTTTTTTTTTTGTAAACTGTTTAACTTATTAAATTATTTTAGTACACAGAGCAGTAACATACATTTTTAATAAAAATTAATTTTGATATTCTTAATAATAAGAGTAATACTCGTACAAAAATAATAACGAAGCTTTAAACAGGTTCCATTTATTGCACTCTGTGTTAATTTTACAGGTATACATTCAGTATTAATAAATAAAGAATGCCCGGTTCGTCCAGTTTGTAGTCTTAAGCCAAGCGATATTTAGTTTAGCAGTCACACATTAGGGAAATATCGTCACAGTCAGGAAAATTCACACTAGCATAAAATGTGTATTTAAAAAGTCGCACTATAGTGCATTGTCCATTTTAAGTCACACAATTGTGCATTGTCCATAATAAGTCACACAATTGTGCATAGTCCATTATAAGTCACACGATTGTGCATAGTTCATTATAAGTAACACAAATGTGCATAGTCCATTATAATTTACGCAATTGTGCATAGTCCATTTTATGTCACACAATTGTGTATAGTCCATTATAAATCACACGATTGTGCATAGTCCATTATGAGTCACACAATTGTGCATTGTCCATTTTAAGTCACACAATTGTGGATTGTCCATTTTAATATTCACACAATTGGGCAACGAAGTCTTAGTTGAGAGTCACAGTTGCAGATCAAGTCACACAAAGAATTACTTCCATTAGAAACACCCAGAAAATAGGCGTCTCACAAGATTGCAGAAGCTTTTCTTCTCTCTTTTTCTTGCCAATTCTCTTTTCTCCGCAAAATCTGGGTTTTGGGCTAATTTTTCCTCCAGATTTTTTGTCAAAAGAGAAATATCTCCACACCTGTAAGAATTCATCCATTTATTAATTATATAAATTAGTATTTTCATAATAGTTACGCATGAAATGCCTCAATTTGCATTGATTGGGTGCTAAGGTATGGATTTTTAAAACGAGAAGATAAATTACTATAAATTAATATTTACTTCCAACAAATTAGCAAATTAGTCTTTTTTTCTATGAAAGAATATTCATAAGCATGAATCTCACTTTTCATATGAATGAATATATAAATGACACACATGGATATTTAAATCTGAATAAATAATATTAAATTATTACAGTTATTATATATTAATCGATATGAATATATAAATATGAATACATAGTATTAAATTATTATAATTATTATACGTACATCGATATGAATAAATAATTATTAAACGCATAACGACTCAATTTCATATTAAATAAGGCAAATCGTAGTCAATGCTTCGATCAACCTGAATAAATAATTATTAAACGCATAACGACTCAATTTCATATTAAATAAGGCAAATCGTAGTCAATGCTTCGATCAACCTTGCAAAATAAAGTAAAACAATCGAAATTACTTTATAAAATCAGAACAAGAGAAATTTAAAAAAATATCATTCTTGGTTAGTCAATATATAAAATACAAACAACGAAAAAATGTATTTTTATTACTTCAACATATAAATAAATAGCGCCAATAATTTTAAAAAACAATTCTCTTTTTCTCCAAAGTTTTGCACACAAAGTCAGTTTATATTACATGAAAACGTATTTAATTACTATCTATTATTATTTAGTTTAAGGAGAAGAAGTAGAATAAAATAAATATGCTATAAAATATACTTTTAAAGCACATAGAAAAGCGTGATGTTAGTGATTTATATTCACATTAAAAGAAATGAACTTATTTAAATAAGATCGATAGCAATTAATATATACCTCTTTAATCCGACAACAATGTCCAGTGACTCCTTTACTTTATTAGCCTTGGCCAGAATTATCTTTTCCCTCGAATCAATCTCGAAGTAATAATGGCCACTTTTGTCACTACTAAAGTTAAAGAAGAAAATGAGTAAAATTAATTTAATATTAAAATTTAGCTACCTAAAGCTAAAAAGGGAAGAAATAAAAACTTGAACACATTATTAACTTTTGATTTTCATGAGTTGAGTGACTTTCTTCAAATATGCTAAAATATCTGTTCAGGCATAAGGTTATGAAATGTGATATAAAAATATGTATTTAGATTAATTTCATGTGACGGAATAGGAACCTTTATTTTCATAAGAGGGTATGTTGCAATTTTAGCCAGTTTATTTAAAAGTTATTCTGTGCAAAATATTATTTATTGCATTTAATTATTATTATTAAAATGTAAAATGGCTTAAACTTTTAGAATTTCTTTTGAAAGCACATTTTTTAAAATTTTTTTTTCTTAGAAATGTTAAAAAACAAAACACAGAAATTGACAGAATTAATTGAATAGCCCTTGATAAACAAAATTTAAAAATATGAACTCTTTGATACAGCAAAATTTGCAAGAAGTAAAAAACTATTTTTAATGTGTAAAAGCTCTCAACAGCTCGTTTGATAGAAATAAAACTGATCTATTGGGGCCATGCTTTTTAGATTGAGGTTACAATCCCTATTTTGGATAATAAACTAGATAAATTGATAAAACATTCTTATATAAAAATATATATTTACATTAAACGGAATTGCATTCTATAAATGAAATATAATTATGAGCATTTATGGACAGTACGACGGAGTTAACAAAACTACGTAAGTGCCGAAAATCAAACTTTGCATTTTGGATTAAAATACTGCTACTATTTAACAGAAATCTCATGATAATGAATGCGGAAAATATCCATTCTATTAGAATATGAGTGAAATCGAATGTAGGTTATCTGTTTCTCGAAGAAAATAATTAAAAAATTCGAATAAAATAAAATTATGATTTCTGGCCTCAAAAAGTTTAATCTGGTGTTTTAACTAAATGAAGACTCATTTAATGTAAGTTTGAAATATGATTTTAATTACCCAGTCGTAGCAACAATCTCTTTCTCAAGAATCATTTCTGACTCTTCAGGCTCAATATCAGCCTGCAATTCCACCATTTTCTCGCTAAAAATAAAAAAAAGAAATTAGTGCATGGAATAATTACCTCAAGATTATCAAATGCTTTCCCTGTTAATATGAGTTTCTCAAATTAGTGAAAAAATGAGATAGAATAGCTGCAAAAAATATATAATTGAAATTGAAATCTCTACGTATATTGACATGTTCAAAAGAAGAGCTCTGAGAACTCATCTTCATTTACAAATAAACATGGCGGTTAAGTAGAAAAGTGTTGATTACCAATCTAAAGACAATTTTTACTCGTGAAATAAATTTAGAATGGAGGTAAGTGCTGGAAATTATTATCAAATTAGATTTTTTCTTCGATTATTTAATCGTTATAAACTAATAAAATTTAAATTTTTTCACATTTGATGATGATGTGACATTTTGCCAAGATGCTTCGAAATAAATATACACGCTGTTTCAATGTTGAGCATGCCACTTTTCCTTGTATTGAATACGTGAGTTTTTTCTGAGTAATCTTGAGAAAAAAATTTTCTAAACAGTATTTGCCTGAAATATTTACGCATCCAAAAGTAAAATTATTAGTTTTTTTAAAAACCATTTCAAACATTTTGCGCTTATGCTTCATAATAAAATTTTGGTAATTCATCTAGGTCTCATCACAAAAAATTCCATTACTTTGTACTTTTTAAATAAATTCTAAATATATATTTCTGTTCATTCCACTACGAAAGTTTGCATAAAAAGGTAGCATGTGCTCTTAAAAATTACTAAGTGAATAAAATTTTGTTTAAAATAATTAATCTCAATAATGTTAAAAATTAGAACTATACCTATTCACTATAGCAACATCTTCATCAGTTGAAGATGACTCTTCTGGCTCTATTTCAGCCCTCAACTCAACCAAGTCATCTCTAAAGATAAAAAATTAAAATTATCATATTATATAGTTAAAAAGTCAAGCTTAAGAAATAATAGCATGTCTTTTATTAATAAGAATTAAATCCTACTTTTCTGAATTTTGCACAGTTTATTTTAAATCATTAAGCTCTGATTATCATAAATTATTTCAATTTGCATTTCTTAAAAAGAATTCTGCACAATTATTTTGTAAAGTGACCACGATGAAAATCAGCATGCAAAAGTAGCAACATATATACTATTCAATATATCATATAGAAAATAGCTAAATATTTAAAATATAATTAAAGACAATTATCGCAATAACAATAAAATAAAGATAAATGGATTACCTATCCAAAATCTCATCATCTTCATCATCAGTTGTAGAAGAATCAGAATGCTCTATTTCTGCACTCAGTTCTTCCATATCATCGCTAATGGTAAAAAATGAAATTATCGCATTATATAGCTGCTTCAATTTTGATAGATGACATACATGAACATATTTAATAGTAAAAAATAATGTAATAAGTCTTTTTTTATGAGAATTTAAGCATTTTTTGCATTTACTTTTCATGATGGTATAGAGCTGTGATATTTACCTATCTCGCATGACAGCAAATTAATTTAATTTGCATAACTAAAAAGTATTTTACATGCATGTTTCTTACTAATTCCAATATAAAAATATGTATGCAAAAGTAATATTCTGCCTTGCAATTAAAAAAAAAACATCGTAAGTTATCTGCGATAGATTTCCTTGATTTATTTTTAATTCTATCGCTAATTGTATGAACTCTTGAAAAAAATTTAAAAAATAAATAAACACAATTTATTTTTGAAACAGAAATTGCAATAGGTATCTATCATACAAAAGTGCCAAATGAAAAAAAAAATAGAATTCCTTNATGAATTTTGTACAACTTATTTTAAAACATTAAGCTGTGATTATCATAAATTATTTCAATTTGCATTTCTTAAAAGGAATTCTGCACAATTATTTTGTAAAGTGACCACGATGAAAATCAGCATGCAAAAGTAGCAACATATATACTATTCAATATATCATATAGAAAATTGCTAAATATTTAAAATATAATTAAAGACAATTATCGCAATAATAATAAAATAAAGATAAATGGAATACCTATCCAAAATCTCATCATCTTCATCATCACTTGTAGAAGAATCAGAATGCTCTATTTCTGCACTCAGTTCTTCCATATCGTCGCTAAAGGTAAAAAATGAAATTATAGCATTATATAGCTTCTTCAATTTTATTACATGAACATATTTAATAGTAAAAAATAAAGTAATTAGCCTTTTTGTGTGAATTTAAGCATTTTTTGCATTTTTCTTTTATGATCGTATAAACCTTTGATATTTACCTATCTCGCATAACAGCAAATTAATTTACTTCGCATAATTTAAAAATATTTTACATGTTTGTTTCTAGCTAATTCCAATGTAAAAATATGTATGCAAAAGTAATATTCTGCCATGCAATTAGAAAAAACATCGTAAGTTATCTGCGATAGATTTCCTTGATATATTTTTAATTCTATCGATAATTGTATGAACTCTTGAAAAAAATTAAAAAAATTAATAAACACAATTTATTTTTGAAAAAGAAATTGCAATAGGTATATATCATACAAAAGTGCCAAATGCGCAAAAAAAAAAAAAAAAAAAAAAAAAAAAAAAAAATCGAATTCCTTATCACTTTAATTGTATTTTCTTTTCCACGGTATTATTTTGTGTGGTAATACAACAAATATTGTTGAATATTTAAAGTAGTTTAAAATACAAATATTATGATCTCTTAAAGATAAAAACTTTAAATAGTACCTATCACTAGCGTCATCCTCATCCGAAGTCAAATTTGACTCCTCACTCACTATCTCACTCTCAACAGCCAGCATTTCGTAGCTGAAAAAAGAAATAAAATAATATATTTATAGACAGAATATTTAATTATCTCAAGATGGTCATTTTTCATAAGTTTTTTGCTCAACTAATATTTGAAAAATTATAAAGACTAGTTTAATGTCTAGGTTAATGAAATAGATTTTGTTAAAAACAACTCTTAACACATTTTTCATTCTCATATTAAAATTTTATATCGATATTCAAATTTGATATTTTCTTTCTATATTACATGTTCTAAGTACAAAATCTACTGTAATATTTCTTTCAATTTTCTTCAATATTTTTCAATTTAATCTAAACTATTTAAATACGACAGTTTCTTTGCACTTCTTCTAAAGGACTTTTTTCTTTGTATATCTTTCTTTCTTTCTTTTTTTAACTTTTAAAAATTACCATTTTTTGTACAAAGAAATTATATTATTTCGTGATCTAAATCAAATACTTACCCATCTGGTTCAGATGAACTACTACTGCTGTTCTCTGCAAGAAATCCAGGCGCTGAAAAAAGATTATAAATTAAATTTTAATTTAGCTTATTTTTGACTGAAATTTGGGTAACAAAATGTTTTATGATTATTGAACGTGTGATAACTGGATAATCAACCCCAAGCTGAATAGCCAATACTCTTTTTTTAATGGTTAAGATTTGATTGAAATATGAAGAAAGGTGATAAGACTACATAATTGGGTGATAATTATTATAATTAAATGCGACAAAATGTCACTTTAAATTGTAATTGCTCATTGCTTTTAGGTATTTAATTTTATTAATGAAATAAAAATGTCTCTTTTAGCTTATAAGATTATGTATATAATTTTAAAAGTTTACAACTTTATTTTTCATTAAATAAATCATGATATGTTTTCTTTTTTAAAACAAATAACATTATTTCTACAATTCCGAATGAAATTCCGAATAAAATGACGGTACAAAGTATTGGTACTTTTGGTGCATTATTCGTAAGACACATGTTACACTAAAGCTCCTTTTTACCGTAAAATATTATGCCGTTATTTTTACAGTAATATTTATTTAATATAAATGATTCTTTATTTAATATAAATAATTCAGTAATCTTAAGGTAATAATTATTGCAAAAATATTTTGATCCTTGACATGTTCCGGAAAAATGGATTTTATGATAAAAAGTATTGTCAAGTTTGCCAAGTATTTTACACATGATGCACCCAAAGTGCCGGTACTTTTTACCCAAATTATATCTGTAATGATTTGCAATGTAGTGCAACATATGTTGCAACTATAAAAACCTTTATAAAAGTGTATTATCATTTTAATTTCTAATAACGGAAAAATAAGTTGTAGCGTTAAAAAATTATTTTCATTCTTCAGAATATAAAACTTTTTTAAAAAAGTTTCGAATTTCGGACCATTAAAAGGTAATATCATATTTGTATTTGTACAAGTAAAATAGCAGCTATTTCATATTTTTCTTTTCTATTTTTATTTGAAGTTTTTCATTTTATTTTAATACTTCCGTTTGCAATTTGTGGAAGAATTTTCATATTTTAATTTAATTCAATTTCAAGGAATTTTCAAACAAGATTAAATTAAAACATTTATGCAATGAATGAAATCACAAATTAAAGAAGTTAGGGATTGTCTCACACAAAACAATACCGACTTCTAATTTTGTCTATCGCCAATTCCTGCTTAGTTCCAAAAAGTCTTAGATTCCAATCAAGATTTTTTAACATTTCAAAATTTATCTTTTACTAAAAATCTGTGAAATTAATAGTTTTCATGCTTACGATAAGGCCTTGGATTTCTTATCAACTCTTTTTGCCAGTGATTAAGCACAGCAAAACGAAAAAGTTCACTCATTTTCACAAATTATAAGTTGCTTGTCAAAAAAGACGTTATTCACTTATAAAAGCTCAATTAAGAATGAGGAATCAATATTTTTTGTTACTTTGTTGGTGTGATTAACAATGGTTATTTTCGGCAACAATGTTTAAGAAGAACCATTAAAACAATATAAAAAGGAATAAAGTTTTATTTAACTCTCTTAAGTATTGTTGTAAATGTTCTCATGTTTAGTTGTCCTTAAGTTTTTTAAAACAATGAAAAAAATGCAACAAAGACTGAAAAGTTAGGAACAGCAATTTGCAAATGATATATATTTATATTAAGCTGAAATTTTTAATATCAAGCAAAACAGAATTACTCATTTTTAATATGACAATTTTTAACTTTTTAAAATGAGAAAAAATCTATTGCAAAAGTAAATTCACATTTTCAATTTATGGCGAAATTATTTCAGTTTAAAAAAAGAAAGAAAAAAATCCAGATATTTCGGTGATAGACCCCAAAATCTAAAGAGTTTAAATCATTTATTTGATATTTTTTTGTTTGTTTTTGGTAACGATTTACAGATAATTCTGAACTTTAAATAACAGGTCTCACATTCAGTGAAAATACAAAACTGAAAAATAAATTTAACAGAAAAATGTGTCTCACCCCCTATGCTTAAGTAAAGATTTCTAATTTTCGATCCATGGTTTTGATCCATAACTATTAATTTCAGTTATGCTACTTATTTATGAAGTATTTTTGTCTTTGAATTTCTTTAATAACATTGTTATCATACGACAACAAAATGTATTATAATTCTTAACTCAGTTCAACTTTTTTGAATTTATTGGATGTTTTTGGATTAAAAAAGTTAAGGAACCAAGAACGAACCTAAATCGGCAACAAGAGCTTTATTTTCCACAGCAAAGAAAATTTCTACATATAGGATTGGTAGGATAATTACAGGGAACACTAGACATTGGGTGTTTCCTTAGACATTTAGGGAGCCTTCGTTGTGTGGAGAGGAATCATCAAAGAACTTATTAAACTAAATTGTAACAACCTGCTTACGAATCTCATTAAAAGTTTTCTCAATAACAGAACAGTCACGTATCAACAAGGAACCACCCATATTAATCATGTTAACCACCCATATTAACCACCCATATTAGCCATATTAACCACCCATATTAACCCATAACTAAAAGATAATCCCAAACAGGTAATTCAGTAATTACGGTTGGTGAAGATAGGTAGGAAATTTATTTACGTCGCATTAGAGCTGCACAATGGGTTATGGGCGATGGTCCGGGAATTATCCCTGAGGATGATCCAATAACATGCCTTTGCAATTTTGATCCTCTGCAGAAGGAAATTTGGTTGGTGAAAAGGAAGTTATTTAAATTAATAACAAGATTTTAAGGAAAAACAATAGCACACTTACATAACATTGAATAAATTTCGATGTAAGGGTTGAAGTTTCAAAGTTCAAGCAGTGCAATTTTCAGCTGTCTATAGTTCTAATAAAATGGAATAAAATTTTCAGAAATTAAAAACTTCAGTTTTAGTTTTGAAGTGCTGTCAATGAAACCATCTGTAGATTTTGCAATCTGCCAAGTGAAGGTTCATTTACACTCTTAGTGTACATATTTACAGGAGAGTTCGTGTTCATGTCGATTTATGAAATGGTTTTTTGAAGTTGGTCCTTATTGTGATGAAAAACATAATTGATGTAATTCAAAAGCGGTTTTATTTACTACTCATTCAACGCTTTTGAAATCACACTGAAACTTTTATTTGACTTTTATGACTGGGTGGAGAAACATTACATGCATGTTTCTTCTGGTTTCAAGTGTTATGGCGTAGGCGTGTCAGTGTTGCTATTTTTGTTATTAATCAGAAAACTAATATATAAAGAAAAAAAGACATAGGAAAGGCAACATGAAAAAAAAAAGAGCGCTCGCCTTTCAATGAGGTGAACCGGGGTTCGATCCCGGCTATGACTGGTCGATACGGATTCTGCATCCGTCTTGCACTGACCACAGTGCTGACCTGAAATATTCTCAGTGGTAGACGGATAATGGGTTAGAATCCCCTTGCAGTCAGGCTAACCGTGGGTGGTTCTCGTGATCTTCCTCGCCATGCAACGCAAATGCGGGTTAGTTTCATCAGAAAAAAGTCCTCCATGAAGACAAATTTCTCCCGATACTTGATCCAGGAGTTCCCTTGTCTTCTAGAATGTGTTCAAAATTGCAAGGCAACGTCGGTGAACATTAGTAGTCGTAAACCAAAAAATTGGGTCAGCTGTTCAACGACGGTTATAAAATAAACTATAGAGAGCCGTGATGGCTCAGGGGATAGAGCGTTCACCTTCTAATTAGGTCCCAGCAATGAATCCCAGTGATAGCTGGTCGATGCAAAACCGCATCCGGTTTGCACTGACTACAATGCTAAAGTAAAATATTTTCAGTGGTAGACGGATAATGGGTTAGAGTCCCTTTGTTGTCAAGCTAACTGTGGAAGGTTTTCGTGATCTTCCTATCCGTATAACGAAAATGTGGGTTAGTTTCATAAAAAATCCTCCGCGAAAGCAAATTTCTCCCAATACTTGATGCAGGAGTTCCCTTGTCTTCTGGATTGGGTTCAAAATTACAAGGCTACGATTTGAATAACACTAGTAGTCGTAAATCCGAAAATTGGATCGGAAGTTAAACGAAAGTTACAAAAAAACTATAGAACTTTGTAACCATCGACAGATTTAACGTGCATCAGTCACCATTTACTATGCGGGGATCGCCGGTTGGGATCGAATCCACACTGGGGGTACTGATCAAGCAGTTTCCTTGTCTTTCGGATTGGGCTCAAAATTACAAGACTACGGAGTTCAATGTTAGTAGTCGTAAACCCGAAAATTGGGTCGGCTGTTCAATGTCGGTAAGAAAATAAACAATAGACCTGCAGAAATTTGGAGGATAGAGAACTCACTTCTCAAAGAAGTTACCCAGGTTCGAATCACTGCGATTTTTGGACGTTACGAATTCTACACTCGCTTCACACCGACCACAGTGCCGATGTAAAATAACCTAAGTGAAATATAGATTCTGGGTTAGAGTCCCATTGTCGTCAGGCTCACTGCAGGATGGCTTCATGGTTTTTCTCACCATGTAACGCAAATGCTGGTTATTCCATCAAAAAGTCCTTTACGAAGACAAATTTCCTTTAATTATTTGGGATCCAGGAATTCCCTTGTCTTCTGTAATCATATATGGCAGTACTTTTACTTTCGTTACTTGTACCGCCGGTACAAGTAAAAAGTACGGAATTATATTTTTGTAGTGG